AACACCTGTAATTATGCTAAGGGGCTGCAGAAACCACGGGAGCCTACAGATACCGTCCCTGCCCTGATGGAGAGTAACACCTGTAATTATGCTAAGGGGCTGCAGAAAACACGGGAGCCTACAGATACCGTCCCTGCCCCAATGGAGAGACTGACGGTGATCAAACTGACAAATAGATGGAAATGTTAAGTAGGACACCGAAAGAAGGGTATAGGTGCTGTATAACAAACAAAATATTCTGGGGAGTCATGAAAAAAACTTTAATTATGAGGTGGTTTGGAGCTGAGCTGTGAAGGGTGAGTAGCAGTAACGAGTGTGTTTGGCAGGGGAATGGGTGTGTCAGCATTTTAGGCAAAGGAGACGGTCTAGAAGATTAATGGTGCTAAGCCCATTGGAAAGATGAGAGAAAGTCTGGAGTCCCCGCATGGGGCAAAGTGGCACTCAGTGGGGTCGAGAGTCTTACAGGTCATCATTAGGGCTTCGCTTTTATTCTACCCAGAAGGAAACCAGTAAATAGTTCTAAACAGAAGAGTGGCATCGTAAGATTCCCGTAATAAATACTTGTTCATCTGCTCAGACTAATATGCTGCTTAATAAAATGTTACCCCATAGCTTACAGAGCTTACCAACTTTCAAACACTAGCTTTTCCACTTGAATAAGAAAATACAAACAGACGAGAGAAAGTATTAGCCACAGTGAAAAGTATGCATTTTGTTGTGCTTTGTTGAGTCAGGACCGCGGTTGCTTTATTTTCTTTGGTCATCAGAGACTTTGCCATGTCTCAGGAACCCTCCTCCTGCAACGTGTTCACTGGGTCTCTTCCGTCTTCCTGCCAGATCTGCGTGGTGATCGCCGCTGTGTTTGGGATCGTCATTTACAGGGTGGTGACCGTCAGCACTTTTGCTGCCTTCAAGTGGGCATTAATCAGGAATAACTCTCAGGTTGCAACCACAGGGACTGCTGTGTGCATCAACTTCTGTATCATCATGCTGCTGAATGTGGTAAGTGACTGGAAGGTGGCCAGCCCAGCGCATCATACACGTGCGCTGCAGGTGGCAGTTTTCTTCTGTTGCTAAAGGAGCCTGGCCTCAGAGAGTCATGTAGCCAAGTGCCCAGCATGAGATACATGCAGGTCTGGGAATTGAGTCAGAGATTTTCTAGTGTCAGATTTATAGGCAAGCCACTCTCCCTCTCTGAACCTTAGTTTGTTTTCGTTTTGTTTTTTCATTTATCCAATAAGACAACACTAAATATTTCTTGGGGAAATTTAGAAAAAGAATTTATTCTAAAGGCCAAGTTCAGAAGCTGTAACATAGCTTAACAGTATTGGTTCCCCTTTTCTTTTGATTCTGAGTGACATGCAGGTTGCCAGTAACCACAGCATTCCTTGAGATGTTGCTTGTGTTGATTTCAGGCTGTTTTCAAATGTATGTTTCATCCTGGATGTCGAACTACCTACTCTACCATCCTCACCTAACATTTAAACCCAGACTCCCCACCTTCCCTCCAGCATCAACCAGCTCCTCCTACAGCCTCCCCCATTGTAGTTGCTCAGGCTGAAAACCTTGGTGTTATCCTTGACTCTGCTGTTACTCTCACTGGCAAAATGTTTCCAGAATTGGATCACTTTTCACACATCTCCACCTCCCACCTGGGTTATGGCAGTGCCCTCCTAGCTGGTCTCCTGACTTCCATGTTTGTCCTCAATCTGCACTCATCACAATAGAAAGAGCCAGCTTCTTCTTTTTTTTTAAGTATATTTT